TTATTATTATTATTATTATTATTATTATTATTATTATTATTATTATTATTATTATTATTATTATTATTATTAGTATTAGTATTATTATTATTATTATTATTATTATTATTGTTATTATTATTATTATTATTATTATTATTATTATTATTATTGTTATTTGTTGTTGTTGTTGTTGTTGTTGTTGTTGTTATTATTATTCGGAACGGATTGCCATTTGAAAAAAATAAATAAAAAGTCAATGTCAAATTTTGGAGTTTTTTCACTGTATTTTTTATAAAGTTTGTTAATCAACAAAAACTTTGCCTAAAAATATTATGTCGCACCGTTTCTATCATCCTCTTTATCGAGTCAATTTGAAATTTTCTGTGGAAATACTTGAATGGTATATCAAACGGCGCAAGCTAAATTCGAATTTGTTCATTGGTCTATTTGTTATGAATAACAGAAAAAAAAAGGCCCTCGATCGTTGAGATAAATTGCGTCATACGATCCTTGAACGGAAGTGGCTATGGGGGGGAGGGCGTTCTCTTTTCTGCCTATCTCTTGCATGCATTGTGTTCAAGCGAGAGGTGGATAGACCTGGCTATGAACTGATGCCGTTTTACTGGTACATTTATCATTCGTAAGGGTAAAAATTGTCGTGCATTGGGTTAATTTCTAATGCGCACGCAGTGACATTTATTGACTTGACTGTTTCAAAATTATTTTTATGCCACTTTAATAACTAACTCAAAAACAATAATTCCCATCTTTCTCATGTACACTATTTGCAGCCCATGTAAATTTTACTCAATATATCATTTAATATCATTTCCGCGGAATGGGGAATATTACCTGTCAGGAGGATAACATTTATTTTATATTCAATAAATTTGATTTTTTTTATGTCGATTTTTGCTAAACCTCGTAATAATAATTTCTTCAAAGTAACTCATCCTGTAGTCTTATTTTACCGTCAGGATAATTTTTATAAAAAAATTTCTCTTCGTATATTCTGAAAATTGATTTATTTTGAAAAGTCCTGGATCGAACCTTTGTAATGAGGTAAAAAAACACCCCTAGTTTCCCCCTGATAATATGAGTTCTCTAATAATATACGTTCTCTTTACTTGGCCCACGGAGTACTCGCTACATTTCACGCACCCCTCTCCACGTTGAGTCAAATTAATAGTTGTTCAATTTTTACAGTGACTAACCCTTTTTTCATTTTCTCATCGTATTATCGAACCTTTCCCCCCCTCCTTTTTTTTTACAAAGTAGACCCCCTAACTTATTTTCTTTTCGTTATTACTTAGAATCTCTCTTTTGGCATGGACATCAAGCTAGCTAGCTTTGCCTAAGCTACCCAGCAAGTTCTACATAATTATTGACAGGTAAAGTTACAGCATTGTAAGATAACTGTAGTTCGAACCTTAATATCAGAATATAACTTTCTTGTCTATAGTGCTTACTCTTCTTACTTAGTTGTATATAGTGCCAATTATTGTGTGCTGGTCATTTCCCCTTTTTCCCAATGTCAGGCCCTCCCTTCAATTAAACTTATATTTTAGAGATTTCATCCCCCTTTCTATTCATTTCTCCAAAATTTCCAAACAATTACCATTCATCTCATATGAATTACAAAATTAATGAATAACTTGCAACCAAAAATGGTAATTTTGAAAATATTGATTATTTATGATACATTATCAATCAATGAATGGAATTAGTGGAAGCTTTCATTATCACCATGAAATATTGATTAATCAATGTCCAATGGGGAAGCGTAGCACTCTGCTCTGCACTAATTTCAGAACTACATGCATCAAGATTTCTTGTACATCAGGAAGCACTCCGGTGTGTGGGTTTGCATTATCGCAAATTAAACGATAAGGAGGTGTATACCACGGGTATTGAGAGATGACAGGTGTAGGTGACACCTGCCCTAGAGAATTTACGGGTGCTATTCGTTTATTGTGTAGTCCACCCACAAAAACGCCTACAGTGTCACCTGTGAGGATTGCGATATTCTGATGGGTTACATCTACGTTACAATTCTTGGATCTAGGTCACATCTCATTTCACTGCTTCCCATGATATGCACTGTCAAAATGAATTACTGCTGGTCAGGCAAGAACCTGCTCTTGTAGAATATAAATCTTACGTTTCAAATTATTAACATTAAGTTAGAAGTTACAGTTTGTGTTCCTTAATATAATGTCTTTGAATAAGCAATCATGTTATTACCTCTGATGCCGAGGAAAAAGATGTTTTGATCTCAACTAAACGGTGTTATGCTTAAATATAATATAATTAGATTATAGGAAGTTATTCTTTTGGGAATATAGAATATGTCACTTAAATCAGTGTCAATAGATTAACGAATAATTGTGTAAAAATATAAAAATCTTATGATTATGTTTTAAATGGCGTGTTAATTGACGTATTTCCGGCAAATACTCACCGGTTTTCAAGAATTCCATTGTAGTAGTAGGGAATTTATACCTTTGATAATATGGGATAACTAAACTTATGGGAATTTATTCTAGGGTATTCAATGGTCGACTTGATTGGCTTCACATAATGCAATCTAATAGCAATCATTTCATTTGATTTTATCATTTCATTTATTTGGTAAAAACCGACAAAATTATGTGTGTAGTAAATATACGTCACACTCGAAATGTTTTCTTTCCAGACGCAGGACGTAGGAAACGCCATTTATTCTGTACGGCATAGCTTTCAAAAACTTCTGTTTCAACACCTGCACGGAAAGTTCACACTTTGCTCCTTGATAAGCGGGGGGAAAGAGAGTACTTCCTGATCATGATCACTGATATTTAATAACCACTTTCAGGAAAGACGCTTATGTGTTTCAAGAATATCTTCATTATCAGAATATAACGAGAGTAAATAGTTCTGAACTGAAAAGAAGTAAGTATTAATATATCGAACAGAAGAGGGATCAACTTTTGTGTTAGTGTTGTCGATGTTTAGTTCAATACTATCGCTTTAAAACAGCAAATTTTCATGAGAAATGTTCAAATAAGAGAAAAAGAGAATGCTAAGGTTTTACATTATTTATAAAGTTGAAAGGAGATGTAAATTTTCAACAAAAAGTACAAATAATGCTACCCAGGATAATAGTATTAAATGGTATAAAGTTTTTCTATAAATACTTTTATACAAGCAATCATCACAGTGATAATGAAAAGGAGTCTGTTTAAGATTTAAGTTTCAACTTGACTGCCCGCGTAGAAAAAAAGTGTCTTTGGAATATTCTTCAAAAGTGAAAACATTCAAGAAAATCGAACCATTGATTTGTCCATTTTTACGCTATGAGGTTCCTATGATTTTTGTTCTTTCTTTCATTGTGTAGTTCATAGAGAAAACATGTACAAGGGAGCTTGAAAATTTGCAGAAGCCAAAAAATCGAAAGATAAGGTAAAAGGCCGTATTATGAGACAGTGTTCTAGCTAATGAGACACGCTGAAAATAAGTTAAATTAAAAATAATTTCTAAACTTGCTCTTTTTTTGAAAAATGTATTCAGATAGGACTATTATCATTGAAAATGTGAAATCAGTTTATACCAAATTTACTCCGAGGTATTTCGTTTAAAAAAAACATACTATTTGATCCCTAAATCCATTCCGAAGGAGAACTTATGAGTCCGTGAGTGATGAGTTGTACCTTATCCTTCAACTCCAATTAATGAATAATTACGGTCACTTGTGAAGATATAATGTGCCACATTTGAATGCTTTATTATTCAGAAATCAAGTTCTATAGGTCTTTTTAATCTCATCTTTGAATTTTTTTATTAAATCGGCGCGTTTCACAAACGTACACAGAATGGCGGAATGTTCCAGTTTATGGAACGGTGAATCACTGTCTCAACATCGTCAGCAGCCTAGTCCCGATTCATGAGACAGTTATCTTTAAAACGATTTTTTAGTGTTTTATTGAAACATTTTATATAATATACGGCAGCGTAATAAAATAAATAATTTGACTTGATGTGCATAATAAGAAATCTGTATTTTGGTAAGTGGAATGTTCATTAATTTTTGAATTCTAGAAACCTAACCTATAAAACTCTATGAAAGCTGAAGAAAAATATTTTTAGGTGGTTTTTTTTTAAATAAAAATTATTTGAAAAGTGAGAGAAGGAATATAAATTTGTTTATCATTTTAGATTAAGTTTTGCAACAATGGCTGCTAACAAAAAAAATTAAAAAAAATTTCTATCTCAACCCAAGAAGACCTCCAAAAATGGAAAAGGGTCAGATGGGAGACGAGCAAGCAGACCGAAAGGAAAATCGACGGTGTTTGTCAATAATTCAGAAAGCGTTATGAAAAAAAAGAAGAATAAAAGGCTGAATTATACATGTGGGGATCTGGCTAATGCCCTAAAGACTGTCAATTCAGGAGTCTCGTTGCGGAAGGCTGCAAGTGCATATGGTGTTCCTGCTGCTACTCTTGGCAGAAAGAAAAACAATCCTGATGGTATTAAAACAAAAACAGGACCACAAACTGTCTTATCAAAAAGTGAAGAAGACGAAATCGTCAACTGGATGTTATACAGGGGTGAACGAGGAATGCCAGTTTCAAAAACAGAATTGTTGGACTCTGTGCAGAGATATGTCACAATTTCGAAAAAGCATACTCCGTTCATTGACAATCGTCCAAGTCGTCACTGGTATGGAGGCTTTCGAAGGCGTCATCAATCTTTAACCATCAGAAAACCTCAACATTTAAGTTTGACTCGAGCAAGTGTAACCAGAGAAGATTTGCAACAATGGTTCAATGAGCAAGACCAATATTTGAAAACAAAAAAATTATTAGATATTTCTTCTAGTAGAATTTTCAACTGTAATGAGACAAATATTGTCTTATGTCCAGAGTCAGAAAAAGTAATTGCAGGAAAGGGATCCCGTTCAGTATACAAAATAGTTGATGCTGGGAAAGAAAGTTTTACAGTTTTATTCATGTATGGTGCGAATGGAGCTCGTGCACCGCCTATGCTCATGTATCCTTACAAAGGAGATGTACCGAAGAAAATTGTTGAAAATATTCCCAAAGGTTGGGGTATTGGTGTCTCCGAAAATGGTTGAATGACCACTGAAACCTTCTACGAATATATAACGAATGTGTTTTATCCATGGCTTTTGAAGGAAGAAATTGAATTTCCAGTTATCATCTATTTGCATAATCATTCTTCGCATATAAATATTCCTCTGGTGAAATTTTGTCGAGAGAAAGAAATAGAGTTAATTGGTCCTTTCCCAAACTCAACTCATATTATGCAGCCACTCGACATATCATTCTTCCATCCCTTCAAGGTAGCTTGGAGAAAAGCAGTACCTAAATGGAAAGCACAACAAAATGTTATGCGCTTGAAGAGAGAAGACTTCGGGGTAGTTCTAAAATTTACTCTGGATAATCTGAATGATAAAGATATAATTATCAATGGTTCTAAAGCTTCGGGATTATGCCATTTTGTCCCTTCTGCGGTAGATTATGATGTTTGGAACAAAAGTAAAAAAAGGAGTGAGTCTTCAGATCAGCAAAACAAACACAATCAAGTATCTGACGACAGAAAAAAGTTTTTAAAATTCTTTGAAGACGATCTATCCGAGGAACTACTTGTTGAATTCAAAAATGCTTCGTCAAGAGGATTATGGACCGGTGACATTGAGAAGAAAGTTTTATTTGAATACTGGCTAAAACTTAGTCAATCGACCATCGGTAGAATTATTAATTCACTTTTTACGTAGAATTGGACCGCATATACAAATATTACGATTTACTGTATTTAATCATTTTTAGCCTAGATCGGGTGGCTTAATTTTTTTTGAAAAAATGGCGTGTGTAATTTTTCTATTTACAAATTTAGGTGATACTCCAAAAGTAAAACCTCAAATCACGACGGTTGAAACACTCCATAATCATAAAATTTTACTAGCTCCACAAGAAGCTGACGCAGGAAATATCAACAATAATGAACAACCATCTTCCAATGGAACTACTGCGAATTACTCTGTTTCTGACATTACTTTCATACAATCCATCAATAGAGTTGAACCCGAAGTTTCCACAAATTTGATTAGCCAGTCAGCTGATAGTACTGAAAAGTATGATTTGCTTGCAGAAATTGTATTGATAGGAAATCATGAAATACTATTAGAAATGGTCGATGAATGTTCAAATAGTACTGTCATTCCATTAGACTTGAAAAATGTGACTGCAATATCTGAACAGAATGCAGGTATCATCCATAAGCCGTCCAATTTTGTGGAACATGATCATACAGGTCGGTGAAGTACAATATATAACTATTTATTTATCATTAAAACAAGGCTTTTCCAACACATATGGCTGTATAAGCATGTATCATTTTGCAGAGGTCGAGGACAAACTTGAAACTGATCAGGAAAAGTTAGTCGATAGTTCAAAAATCAATTCAACAACGAGCGTCGAAATAAATAACAATCAGTCTCTCATTGGACAGACTTTACTCGGAGACTCTTCACATGAAAAAGAAAACAAGATTTGTGATTCCAATGAAGGTCAGTGCTAGAACCATGAGAAATATATTAATATATTTATAGTATATTGCTAATAAGATGAACCGGTGTACTAATGAATTAATTAATATTTGATTTTTCAGTTGATCATTTCAGTGAAGCATTCACACTACCAGTTGAATATTTACCGAAGAAAAAAAAAACCAAAATTGAAGCTTCAGGCAAACCAAAATTGCCATCGGCTGGAACTTCTGATGAATGGTTCAATTATCATGTGGAAAAAGAAAAACGTCAAAAAATTAAAGAAGAAAAAATAAAGAAATAAAAAAATTACAACATCAAAAGAAAGAAAAAGCAGAAGAAAAGAGGCTATTGCAAGAGAAAATCAAAGAAATTCAAAAAAGAATCAAACAAGAAGCACAGTAAAATACAGTTTATAAGTTGATATTACCATGACGAAAAATATTTTAAAATTTGTCTCGGTCTTTAACTGTCGTTTTTTTAGAATTGTTTTGCATAATAAATACTTTAATAAAAAAAATAATTTCTTATGAGGTTTTATTCAACTGTCTCATAATATGGGACATGCCGTCTCAATAATTAGGCCATGTCACTAAACACAGTCTCATAAATACGGATATCATCACCATGTCAAAAACTCATTAATTTAGAACTTTTATCAATAAAAATTCATTTTTCAACGATCGTTGTCAATAAACTAATAGATAAACTCATCAAGCCATTAAAGAAAATGAGATTTTGTTATTCAATTTAGTCGGAATAAATGGAAATACCACGCGTAGTATGAAAAGTGTCTCATAATACGGCCTTTTACCTTAGTCAACTCTTGAGGTGGATGCAAATTGCTATTGATAGCTTTGGGTATACCAGCAGCTCCAGACTCTCCGGCAAATAGTGGAATTAAAAATTTTGGTAGAATTTTGATTTTTTATGTAGACAATTAAGAACTATATTCTTGATACTCTGGCAGATAAATAAGTTAAAAAATAAGTCATGCTATTGTTTTTTGATAACAATCAAATTGCCTTTTTTGTTAAGAGCTGCCATCAGCTTCACCCAGATCGGATTCGGTTTGTTTGTGGGAAGATTGCCGAAAGTGATCCATATAAAAGTTTTTTCTGCGAGGTGATTAACCGATCACAAAATACCAGTGTAATTGTAGATTGTTGTTTTGATACTACATCTCAGACTTCTTCCAATGTCAAGCTCGATTTTTTTTCTCTTAAATGAGTTTATTTAACCACATTTTAGAGAAATAAACGTACTAACACATCTAAAACTAATATATGAATATCAGAACCGTTTTTTTCCTGTGTTAAAAAATGAAATAGTGAAAAAACTATTGAGAATATTTCCTTCGAATTCATTAAAATAATAGATAAAACCATTATAATCCAGTTCACCTTTACGTTCCAACTTGTATCATACTAGACGGGTATGCATGAAAAAACATTTACAATCACCATAAAGACTCACACCTTTTGAAACTATCATAATAGAAAGTGACTCTACTCATTTCAAGTGAACTTCCGTTATATCAGTTGTAAAGATATTGATGCGCGTTTTCTGGCGGTTGCATATCTTTATCGCAATTTGAAAAAACGATAAATTTATACCTATCACGAATTTACACAAACAATAATGCAACACCCGCAGATGCATGAATAATTTGAGAGACTATATAGACAAATACAGTACGTGCATCATGGTAAAATAAATTAATATCGCAAACAACCCTAGTTTAATCATTGGTATTTGTAAGCATTGTTATCTCATAGTCCAGTCTGTCCTCACACAAAGACATTAAAGTTGTAACAATGAATTCTGTGAACAGTGATGGCGATTAGTGTTATCAATTCTGTAAGGTGTGGGGCGAATTTTATGATTGCTGTTTTTATTCGGGCTTCACTTATGCGGGTTCTTTCCATTTTATAGTTTTATATGAGACATTCCGTGTGAACTCAAGATGGTCTAAACTCTCATGATCATCGCCCATATTTCTGATTTTTTCATGCACATGTGCATCAAATAGCATGATTTACAAAACTTTTCCAAAGTTCGAATATATTGTAAAGGTATTTGAATATATTTCTAAAACTGCGGACGTCTTTAGGCTCGTCGTCAACGTGCCCCATGACAAAAACGTCCCAGTGAAGTAGGTTTGAATCGCGAACGTGAAAAATTTGTCATCGTGGAAAACTAAATGGTAGCCTGGGGGACCTACTAAAGTCGTACCATCTGGCACCAGCCAATTTATTTATTAAATTATATTTCTTAAACTATTTCCTCGATTCACACCTAAACTCCGTAAAAATGGAGTTATTCAACATTTTTTTCTTATAAAAACACGTGTCCTCTGCATTTTCATAAAAATTCAAAAAAGATCATAGCTATATACCATCTAATAACGTAACTAACGGAAGTCAAGAATAAAATCAAGCTAGTCTCAATTAGATGAATACCCTGAAGGGGTAACCGGCTTATATTATGATCTGTTTTGAGATTCACTTGGCTTGGGTAGCTGTCGTCTGATTGTAAAGACAAAAACCATCAGAGCTTTTTATACTTCTAACTATCCTTAGTCCAACTGATTCTAATTAACTTTGCATAACGAAAATTCCGATTAACACAATGTTAAAAAAATTGAAGTATTCTAATTTTTTCTTTTTTATGCTCTCCAAAAAAGTTGAATTCCATTAGATTCTTACTTAGACTTAATATATGATACCCTTTTTTAGCTGAAGTTTAGTTTGATGTTTTTAGCTTGCACAAGTTATCCGTGTATTATTCTTTCTCGAAATTATTAGAGAGTATTTTTGAGATTAAAAACAGTGACTATTGACTTTTCGAAAATGACCGATGAAATCATTGAAACTTGTGATTGGCCCTTTTGTCATTTCAATAATTGAATAAAAATTTATTTGTCTGGCATATTATTATGAAACATATTTAACGTTTCTCTCAATACATTTTGCACAGATTCTGATATACATATTGTATAATGAAACAATTTTTAGGAAATCTTGAAATAAACAAAAAATATTATATCCATGTTGGCCCAGATCTACTTTGGTCCACTCTCTCTTATCAGTAACGAATAATTTCTGATTCAATTAATCATGAATGAATGCATGTTTTAAAAATATATATTTTTATACTGTATGAATGGTTCGTTCGTAATTGGCGCGGATTTATGTAAAAAATCGGTGCCAAGAGAGCTAGTGAGCCATTTTTCCTCGAGCTATTCAAGAGATAGGGTGCAAGTCCGAAATTTCAATAATCTGTTTATTGTTTGTACATATCTGTTCATATAGATTATCTCCCTTGCGCGAGTCATACTTTCTTAGATTTACAGAAACTCTGGGAATTGACTGAGCAGCCGTGATCGTATTTTTGATATAATAAAATCGCATTATCGAAATATTTGGCAATTCTTTTCCTATGCTCCTACTCATTGCCAGCTAAATGCATTCCAAAGTAATGAAATGATCAGTATAATAAAAATTAAAAAATTCTTAAACATGAGATATTTGACCACGGAACTGCCGTAAATTTCTACTAAGTATGTAATATTTGGCTTCTATAATAATGCTGAAAAAGTTTTGATAGAGAAAAACCTGAATATTTATCCAAGCTTTTTTAGGGCTGAGTCCTTTCTGAATCCTCCAAGTTAAGCTGATCATAGTTAGAAGCCAACCATGCCCGTCAGCCCTTGAAAATCGGCTTTAAAATTCCGCGAACCTAAACGTTTTGATGTAATAAACGGGTTAATCAGTTCATTAAACAATTTTACTATACAACGAATCAAGACTATGAATGTCGAGACCCTTCAATAAGAAGTGCAACATCCGGGAGAATAAGGAATCAAAGCGGGCCCTAAATGACCGTTTATTCTATAGTTCCAGCATGTACAGAACAGAACGGTTTGGCACACTCTGGGGAATTTACCCGACGTCCCATACTTTTAATCGCCAAAATCGCTACATAACGCCAGGTAAGTGAAGTCTTGTGGAAATTTCGTATGTCTCCCCTCCCCACATCTGAATAATTTACTAAAAGAATCTATGGATGGTCTAGACCGAGATTTGATGCCGGGACCTTCCGATTATGAATCGGATGTTCTCCCAACTGAGGTATTTGGTTCTTCACGATGCATTCAAAGATGATTTAAAAGCTTCCCGTGAGAGTTGCCAAATGGCATTTTTTTTTAAAGTAGACATCACGCACGCTGACTAAGGTGCATGGTATTTATACCAATAATTGCTACACCTTTTAAATCTTTAATTCCCAGTTTGAATTTCGATTCCATTAGTAGATGGACATCAGTTTGTTCACAAATTTAATAATAAGAAACAAATTCCAGATGGCAATATATATGCACAGAAAGAAACATTCGATCTGATTTGGAACTTCGATTTGACACAAACATATTTATTGGGTCATTTCTCAGAACTTTTCTAGAATTTGACCAAAATTGTACCGGTACTGACTAAGCAGACTTCACACAAAAACATCGGAAAAATCAATCTCATCACAATAATTGCCATAAACAGATGAAAATTTGCCGGAATCGAATAATCCCCATATCAATTTCCAGGTAATTTAATGCATTTTCACCCAAGTCCAAAGCATTGGCACAATGATTAAACATGTACCGAGCAAATCTAAATATTAAAAAAATGCGAATTTTTAAAAAGTGACAAGCTAAAACTCGTTGAGATGTACAAATTCACATGTCATATGTCCTCAACAATCAAGTTGAAATCTTGTAAACAAGGCAATAACTGTCATTTTTGGCGTGTGACATGACGGAAAAAATGCAACTATTTGCTATAAACTTGATAAGAATTCAATTGAATCATAATTATCATACATGATTTCGAAGAACAATAAATTCCCTTCCGAATGATATACGAATGGTTTGAGTTACCTGACCAATAGATATAAAAAAACCAAAATTAAGCAAAATTCACAAAAAGCATAACAGAAATGAATTTCCTCACAACAATGCCCAAAAGTTGATAAACATTTTCCTCAATCCATCAATTCTACTGTTAATTCCAAGGTATTGCAATGTATTTTCTCCCACGTACAAAACATCTCAAATTTAGACATAGCCCGAGCAACTCTCATTATCAGGAGAAATAATATGTGAATTTTCAGCATGACATGCTAAAGTCACTATATTATCGCTCATAACGTTGAATCCAGTGAATGGAATTATTGGCATGAGGGGTCAATTCATAGATCTCAGTGAAACTTTCAATTTCATATATGATATAGACGGTTGATCAAGTCGAAAGCCTCAATAAATTAAAAAACCGGTGGCTTTTGACGTGCGACATAAAGAAAAAAACGGAAACGATCTGTTCTAACTTCATGAAGGTTTAGTTAAATCAGGTTAATCAACGGCCGTTTTGATGAGTATCGCAGACTTTTTAAAATGGTATATAGATGGTTCCATCAGCTGCACTCATAATTATATGAAAATCGGAGTGAACAGATTTTTGATAACCTAACTTAATTGAACTTCTTGCCAAAAGTTCGCTTACAATAATGAAAATTAATCTTATTCGATCACTACACCAGTTAATTTCAAGGTACTTTAATAGATTTCCACCATAAAATGAAGAATCTTTATAAAATGGAACAGAAGTACAGCAAATTGCGTCATTAAACCGAAAAACATGAAAATTTGCAAAACGTGACATCCAAGAATAGCTACATTATCATAGCATTGCTCATAACATTGGATCCAGTGAATGGAATTAATGAAATGAGGAGCCAATTTGTAGATCTCTACGAGATCGTCAGACCGGCCTATAATATATCTCCGTTGGTGAAGTATAAAGCCCCAGTAAGGGGTCAAAACTGTCATTTGTGAGGTGTAACATATGGTTAAAGAACAAAAGAATCAGTTGTAACTTGATGAAAATTTCATTGAATCATATCAATTACATATGATTTGGAAGAATATTAATAGCTCCTCCGAATAATGTACCGATATCCATACCTAGTTCAGTTATAAATACCTAAAAATCGAACCAAAGTTGATTTTTCCAATAGAACCTGAAAATGCAATCTTCGGATAAAATCTTCAGAAGTCAATGAGGAATCGAGTCTGGTGTCATTTTGAAGTTCAGTTAATAAACATAAAATTAATGTACTACATCTATACTATATATGTGAGGAAGACGGAATTGAGCATAAAAACCAAAGAAAGAAGTCCGGTAACGCTCACGGATCTTTTACTTATGGAAGAATGTCTTTTCGATTTTATATAGCGACCCTTAATCGAGTGGAGTGGATCACGTGAAGTATTGACAGCTTACGAACAAAGCAGTTGCTATCTTATTGAGGCCCGGATAGAGCATCTGTCGAACGCAATCTTTTTTTTTACATTGTCTTATTAGCCTAAAATATATGAAAGTTTGGTATCAATTTGACTATGCGGGAACCACTCTGATGGATATAAAAAGATAATGGAAGAAGAGAAGAATAAATGTGTGGTTTAGGTTCTCTAAAAAACAAAAATCATTGAAATGTGAATTTCTTTGGATAAAAACCATTTTTATCTTCTCACTAGTCAATAACAAGACGAAAGAAAAGAGAAAAACAATAAGGAGGGGAATACATCGATAAATAGTCCTGAGGTAAACTCTATTGTCCCTGAAATTACTTAAACCCCCTCTCCCCTCTGCTCTCGCTGTTGACGCGACGAGTGCGTTATACTTAATTCATATTTTGAATAGCCGCAGAATGGCAGCGGCGGATAAGTCACTCGTGGTGTTCGTTCAGCGATGGTAGATGGTCGGGAAAGGTGAATTCAGAGTTGTAGTGACGTGTTCAGCACTATTAGATAAATCCATCTTTCTGTGTGTCCATTGTCGTCAAATGTGCTAGCATGCGGTGTCTTTGGGGCCGACACACCGCCACGTCCTTGCCCTGGCCCTGGATAACGCAGCAAGCGGTGTATTAAATTTCATATCTCCCACACCCCAGGTAGGAATTAACAATTGGACCACGACTAGGCAAGCCGATTTCTAGACTGGCGCCATAGCTTGGGCCTAGCATGGGATATGCCGGGAGTGTAACATTGGACCAAGCTTGGGAAGGCCCGCTTGGCCCAAGGGTGATGCCCATCATAGGCCCACCAGTATAATTTAGGCGTGATCAAACCTAGTATAAGCTAACGCCTGGCTTCAATCAGGACTTGCAATTAATTAAATTGGAATTGAAATTTAACATATATTTATCGGATTTTATATTATTATTCATCTTATTAATATTATTGTGTTTAATTTAATTAGGCTCTAATTGATTGGCGTTCCAGTTTCGGCCAGGCGTACAAAAAATTGTTTGATAGACTCATCAATTAATCCCCTCCATGGAAATCTTGAGTAAAAGGCGAATCATTTATGCGTGTATTGAAGGGAAACCAGAGTACTTATTCAGCCTATCGGTAGTCCATTCATGAACTCTAACGCAATAATTCACTTGTAGAAATCAAAACGTCTCTTCGCCATCTAGCGGCATTTGGTCTGAACATTGGCTGAAGCTAGACCCACACTAGAAAGTTCCAAGCCTGAGAACAAGCTTGGCCCAGGTTACGAACTAGCCTTCTTACCGGGATTCAGAGTGACCTGCCGAAATGACCTTGGGGCTAGCCTGGCATCACCATAGGTTCAAGCCAGACTCAGGCTAGGAAATGTCAGGCTTGGCAGTATGGGGTCAACCAAGCTTGGCCCTGTTGTCAATGCTTGGCGATTCCTACCAGGGACTAATTATTTCCGGATACACAGGTGAACAGATCTTTGATCGGGCGATGGAAACCCTTCCAACCAAATAAAAAACATCCTGAATGGTTTGGTGGACCTGAACTAGACATTTACCAAAACAAGACATATTATTCAAGGACGCTAAATCGCGATATCCATTGAAAAAAGATTGGCAAATCCACAAAAAAATAACAAAAAATACGCAGCGTAATTACGTGTAGCTGTTACTCAATCCAGTGACGAGCAATGGTAAGCTGCGTATTGTTTAGAATTTTCTTGTAAGCTTGGTAGATTCCTTTCGATAATTATCGCCATTTGGCGCTCTTCAAGAAAATTTTCTTTTGTTTCCGAATGGATTTTCGGATTGTCTAATTTGACTTCGAAATGATGGAAAATGGTCCGAAATGTAAAAATATACAACTTGAGCACCATGTGTGTGTGCGCGTATGGTCAACTTCGTCCATGCTGTTAGAAAATTAGAGGAATAAACAGGTGAAATTATTCCAAGAAAGGTAAAATTCCGTTAAAGTACAGGTATTACTAAGGACTAAGCCTGTGTCAAAATTCAGCTCGATTAGTCAAGCGGTTTTCCATAAATTGCCACTTCTTTCTAAATCATTTGTCGCAAATATTTCGAAGACTATATAGTCGAATTCAATTTTTCAGCTGTCAATATGTTCGTCTCAATGTATCCTATGTCAATCAATCAAAATATGTATATCTATTCTCACTGAGTTATCGAAACATTTCAATTTTTTTGTTTTGTCCAAAAAAAAAAGTCTGTTAGCACAGTAACATTTCGAAAAATTAATTCATCAATGTGAAATTTGGCATAAAATTTCTTCTTAGCAATGAAATGTTTTGTATTCAAGAATGGCTGAATCCGATTATTAGTTCATAAGATATTTCACTTTATATCAAAATCGATTTCCGTGAATATCTCGAGCACTGTGCAACGTTTTTCAATGTTTCACACTTTAAAATGTTCGCATCGATGCACTACGTCTTTATTTATATTAAGTTTTCAAGATATTCGATTTTTTTTGCAAAAAATTTTGTTAGCACGGTAACGTTGAGAAAAATCGACTTATCAACTTCAAATTTGGCATGAAGTTTCCGCTTGGCAATGAAATATTTGAAATTGAAGAACGGCTGCACCGGATCATTAATTCATGAAATATTCAGCTTTGCTTAAAATTTACTTTCAGAAACATCTCGAAAATTATCCAACCGATTTGACTTTTTGACATCTCCAAATATTCTGTTTGTGGACTCTATCTCAATCAACCAAAATACGTATACTCCTCCATACTTAGTATTCAAGATATTTCAATTTTTCGGGAACTTTCAATAAATTTTCGAATTCGAAACATCGTCAGTGCAAAATTTGAAGTTACAAGATTGATTTTTCAAGAAATGAGAGTACCTACAAAGCCGTTCGGAAGCATATCATCAATTCATTAATGACGATGAAAGATTGTAAAAATTACTCAAGTGCTTGTTTTTCATTATCTTTTTATAACTATTCGAAAGATGCCTGCAACACAAATTCGATCCCAAATTTTAATATATTTTAGGCTAGCCAGACAGAATTGAAATAAAAAATCACGTTCGATAGATAGTCCATGCCACAGTTAAAGCTTTCTACAATCTACCGTATTATACAAATATCAAGGAGAGTTCTTTGAAAAAATTTCCCTCTGAATTCTTGTTCTGATGGCACTATAACAATTATTCAGAAAATCGTTTTGGAAGAAAATTGTCATCCATCACTCCGTACGATGCGACAAGAGACTTCTTTTCGTAGTCAGGAAGTTCCTGATAAAATAGTACCAAACCAAAGTATTTATGACTGCGTTTTTCGTCTCTATTTAGCCGACCTGTAGCTACGGCGTTTCTGAGGCAGCGAGTTTGGTGAGCCCAGCCGCAGGCGAGGCGGTCAACCACTCGAGTAAAAAACCACTATAACGTTAGTTCAGGAATAATATTTTTCCGCGATGATTCTCAAGTTTGGGAAATACGCAATATCAATTCAAACATCTCTGAAAACAATCCACATATCCTCTGTAGAATAAAAAAAAATGGAGAAATTTGCAAAGACTAGCAGTTCATTGAAACGAAAAGTAACCTCCACAGAGAGAAAATACAACATGTTTTTACTATCAAAAATTTTTTTTATTAATAATGAAAAATACCACCTATGCACAATAATTTGAATAAATCCTCGGTAGAACGTCAGAAATTATAAGTGACCATGGAGCCAATAAAGAATCGACCAAAATGCTGAACGCTTTGAATTAATGGAAGTAAGTAGAATTCCATAATCACCCAAACTCTAAAACCGTATGGAAGGATTTGGAACTTAATGTATTATTTTGTTGTAATAAAATAGAAAAAATCACAATTAGTTTTTCAACGAAAATATAGCGCATTTTGCGTTGATACAAAAATCGAGGAATGATCAAAAACTAACGAATATGGTCTTGCAACGAGTGGAATGCTACCAATTGGTTCGAATTCATGAGAATAAATAAAATTGTATAAGAAAAGATGTCAAATGAACTGTGGGGCAAGGTGAAGGTCCTCTTTTATCTTCACTTTCCGACACCAAAGATTTCTCAATTAATCCATAGCAAACATGCAATCTGAAAATACCTGCTGTGCTCATTCTTTATCCTTTTTAAAGTAAAAGTGTATTTATGAAATCAAAATTATGCGGGTGAAAATTAAACTAATTACTCTAGGTGACATAATTAAAACTGGAATCCGCCTTGTGGTGCTGAATCTGTAGAATGGAAGTCGAGTTGACCGTCAACCGTTGCAGGAGCAATTTGAGCACTTTCAGACTCCTGGAATAAAAAATTAATCAACAAATTAATAGTAAAAATGGGAATGGAGATTGGGAAATCTTTCACGCCAATTATTTTTTACCATCAGTACAAATGAATTCCTTGAAAAAAATCTAACGCCAATCCGTTTCTTGATACGTAAGAATAAAATACAGATAGTTAAGGGAAAAATTATGAATTTTCGAGTTTCCAGGCTTTAATTTTAACGTAAATTATTAAAATTTATCATGTAAATCGGCGTTACACAAGATTTAATCATTTTGTTTGCGAACGGAAGCTTTGTTATCGGTCAATTTTCCAATTTTCCAATTATCCTTGGAAATTATGTAGAATGGGCTGAAATATAACATACAAAATTTGAGCACCATATCTGTATATACGTATTGTCCATTTCGTTCACTCTTTTAGAAAATTAAAGAAACAAGCAGTTAACCATTCAAGAATATTATAGCGGCATGACGAAACTTATCCCGTCAAAACGAAAAGGTAAAGAATTCGATGAAAATTGTTGAACACGTTATTCGATTCATATGAAAGCGGTGTGCGAAATTTTAAAACCCCTACGAAAAAGATAACAATATGAATAATTTACCAATTTTCTATAATTTATGAATTATACAGGCGGTGTGATAGAGCATTATCGTACGGTTAACAGCTTAGGAAACGCACTAGAATTGATGATGCCCTATTCAACCGCGTGTACAATTAGTAACTTGAAAAATGATTCGCATTGTTATTATTCTCATACAGGTCTTGAAATTTCCTACACAGCTTTTAGATCAAACTCGAAAACAATTCGATCGATTTTAATTTTTCACGGATCAGAATATTCGTCTTTATTTAGTCTATCCCAATCGATTAAAATATGTATAGCTGTTTTCACAAAGTTTTCGAGATATTCAAACTTTGCTGTTTTTTCCAAAACAGATTTGTTAGCACGGTAACGTTGCGGAAAAAGGATGCATAGATTCATCAATTTGAAATTTGCATCGAATTTCTTCTTGGTGATGAAATGTTTGAAATTGAGAAACGGCTCAATTGGATCATTATTTCATGATATATTCCACTTTGTATCACAATCAATTTCCTTGAATATCTCGAAAACTGTTCAACCTTTTCCGATTTTCAGCCCTTTAAAATGATCGTCTCGCTGTACTCCACCTCAATGGATCAAATATACAGAACCATCCATGCTAAGTTTTCGATGTATTCTAATGTTTCTGTTTAAAAAAAAATGTTGTTAAGACCGTAACGTTGCAAAAAATTGATTCATCAACATGTTTTAAATAGATTTCTCCGATAGTCGAACTTTCCTTTCAATCGTATAATTATTCCTCCTATGCTTGCATATTTTTCCTTGTGCTTGATTCTTCTATAAATTAGAAGTAATTTCTTTTTATAACAACGTACTGACAGATGTGACTTCTTTTTTGGATGTACATCTACAAACAGGCATTGAACGGCATGGAACGGTAATATTCCCTTATTTTTCATTTGATTCTCCGAAATTATAACTTAAACCACTTGAAAAAATCAAGCGATTGGCTGAATACGTATGCTGATAAAATAGTAATAGCAGGAACCTCTAGTTTCCAGGCCTATGCTTTGAAAGACATGTTTAATGTATCCCTGTCAAGTCAATAAATTTACGGACGGAAGCATTATCAGATTCTTTTTACTCCTGCTTCTTTTACTTCTACTTCTCAAATCCATCCAAATTAGTTAATTTGTCTGATAGCGGGCGGCGTATAAAGAAAATTGACTGCTCTTAGGGAATATGCAACTGTTACTTTATTTGTAATATTTTATTCTATCTATTTTTTCTTCCAATTCCAATGATAGAAAGTTTGCGAACGAAGACCAATTTTCGTTTCCATCTATAGTAGAAATTATGTTTCTAGGTCACATTCTTCTCCACCTTTGTTCTATGTTCTTTATGAATTAATCAATCTTAAGAATAAAACCCCGAAATGGAATAAGGAATAAGAAACATTTTTTTTACCTGAAACTTTGGTGCAGTTCTGCATGAAGCACAGCTTAAGCAAAGTCCTGCATAATACAGTAGGAGAAAAAGTATTTCTTACCGGTTCTGAAAAGAAAGTATCAATCATTGAAGCTGCTTTCTGGTAAATCTTTTCGTTTTCATGATGTTGAAGGTCCTCTAGTTTATCAAGCCCACGAACTTCCTCTATCATCAGAGCAACTTGTTCCAGCTGTCCCATTTTTTCTGCTGCATTCAAAATATTTGTCAATCCATCCAGGACAACAATAATTGCTTTCTGATCTTTTGCCTGCAGAATATTACAGAATGGCTTCAATACACCGTGTTGAATCAACTGCACCAACTGGGGAATTGAGCCCCCCGAAGTCAGGTTTGTCACTGCCCAGGCTGCTTCTTTTTGTGCTTTAAAATCACCCTGTGGGTAGAAAATAATAGCTAAATCACTTTCTTCGAGTTGATATTTACATAGTTTACCTGGACTAGGTAAACAATTTACAAACAATCTCTTTTCCTAAGCTGTGTAAAAGGCTATTATATTCTTCATTAGAATATGGGTAGAATACGATTTTTCTAACTTTGCTATATGTATTGGATAATGAAAAAATATATCAATGGCCTTAGTGGTGCTATTTGTAAAAATGACTACGGAAGGCTTATTTAAAATGTGAAATAAGTGAACTTAGAACAGAATGCGAGTAGTAAACTCTCTTGAAAGAAAAAATTTTTTTAACATTTAATGATCACTCAAATCTCATTAAATGTAATTCTCCAAATGCTTAGACTTTTAGAATAAGGATATGAATCAATTTCTGTGATCTTCGAAATAGGAAGAGTGATTTCACTCACCGTAGCAAGAACATGCACAAGAGGGGGGAGGATTCCAGCATTGATCACATGTTGGATCTGCTCATGATTTCCAGCAGTAATATTGCTAATGGTCCATGCAGCTTCCTTGACAATATTCACTCGCTTATGCTCTAATAAACCCTTCAAATTTGGTAATCCTCCAGCGTTAATAATAGCATCAGTCTGGGTGTCATTACCAGTAACAATGTTTCCTACGGCTCTCAATGCAGGTGTTAAAACGCTAGCCTCAGGTGAGGCTAAAAGTGCGACAAGCTTCGGGACAACGCCGGAGTCAACTACAGCCTGAATTTTGAAATTCTCACCGTCAGTGAGATAAGATAAAGCCCAACAGGTGTCTGCCAAGATGTCAGGGTCCTCTCCAGTGAGCAGACGATTGAGAACAGGCAAGGCCAATTTAACAATCTCAAATGATGGTGGTGGATTCTTATTTCTGCATAAGTTGGAAATTGTCCAAACGATGTTTCTCGTGAAGGAAACTGAAGTGTCAGTTTTTATGAGATTTAAGAGCAATGGCATACACTGTTCTTCCAATACCTGATCGCGAGCACTAGGACCATCCCCAGCAATATTCCCCAGAGCCCAAACAGCTTGCTCAGCTACATTCGTTGCTGGTGACTTTAACAACTCTACAAGTTTAGGAATAGCCCCATTACTGGCAACAATCATGGTCTGCTCTGAGGTTCCTGAAGCCACATTTGTTAAGGCCCAAGAAGCCTCGAACTGTAGCGCTGGGTTATGATGGTAAGAAAGAAATTCGATGCACCGAGGAACAATTCCTTTGCAAATCATTATGTCAATGGGCGGATGCTTCTCACGTGACAACATTTTTCTGCAAGCTTGTGTCGCTTGCAGTTGGAGTACCTCATCGGGACTATTCATTCCTGCAACTATCTCATCAATCGACATCCCTATGGGAGACTGGACATGGTCGTCTGGTGATTTCAGAGGTTCAGGTTCGATGGTCAAATTCCGACGTTTTAGAAGCTGATCATCACGACGTGCTTTGCGTAGTTCTACTGATACTTCATTACGTCTCCTACGAGCATCCTGGTGATAGACAAAATAAGGAATGAATAAATTTCCACAATATGAATTTAATTGATGAAGAGGTCAATGGAAAGATTGCTTTAACGAACGTGGTCGCTCGATTTAACGACATCCCTCTATAAGCTGCACAACTGTATGATGCGTTTCAACCTCCTGCGTTTTTCTCAAATGCTGGAATTGTGTTCTTATCACATCCAGTGAGTACTACCACTACCCAGCAGCCAATAAGAGTCACCATTAGTTAATTAATTGCTTCGTTTATTACTCATGCATCAAAATTCTTTAATGTGCAACGTGTCTTTTAACGGCTGCATATAGAGTTAAAAAAAAAACTCATCGTCAGAGTTGATAAAACGCAGAAATGCGTCTGTAAGGTTCGTCAATTACCATAAGATTTCATGTTAATCGTCGATAAATAAGGAATATAATAATTAATGTACTCTAGCCTACCCAGGATTTCAAAAAATTGGCCGAGTCGTTTTTGCATTAAAATTTATCTATACATTAATTTTTTTTTCATCTCATCGTTACTTTGATATACGATAGGACTACCTTTACCACCGCCTTACTGAACGTTGGTCTCAATTGTCTCTGTTTCAGGTTCATTTGAGAGCCCATTTTTCAGATTATAATTTTTTCTGTTTCTCTCGCTTTTTTTTGTCAATAACTACAGTTCTACTCAGCCCCGTGTTGATTACAGACACGTTCAAATTTTGCATTTTTTTACCATTTACATACATATTTGAGGTTTTTTTTTTCAATACCATAATACCGCCTTGAAAAAGTGCAGAAAATTGTAAAATATCAATTTTCAAATCTTCGTCAAGGTTCATTTTGCTGGGCTTCTTCTTTGTAATTAAAAAGAGAAATTTCAGTTATCATAGTAGCTATCGAACAAAAAAAAACCAAATGAAAAATATAATTAGTAAATGGGTGGTTAGGAAGATTCCAAAAAAAAGAGATACTTTTTTTCTAACCATGTACACTTGTCAACAAACGAGATCGATTGTGCCATTACTCATTTAGCAGCAATGGCAATGGCAGCAATATCTCATGTATAACTGTAACAAGCATTTATAATTAATAGCAAAATATTAACTTGGGGAATCTTCATTAAAGCACCTATATTGAATCAACGAGAAAAAGAAATAGTGGAAATAATTAAAAGTAATTAATGGAACCTTCAATGACATTGAAATGTTTTTCGAATTTACCTCAGTTTTGAAATTATTTTTGAACTTAGCCAAACGGCTGTTGTGATTAGCCTCAGGTGCCGGCATGATGTCAACAATGACCTAGAACAAAAATAATATCACCATCATGATTTCATGATGTTATTTTATCATCAAATGATGAGCTCCAAATTCTTCGAAAGTGATTCAATATCAACTGAAGAACTTGAAGCATTATGATCGGTGTAAAAAATAAGGGTTTCTTCGAAATGGTAAATTTTTTAATGAAAATTAAATGAATTTAATTAAAAAAAAAACACTATCTGTCATCTGAACCGCTCAATGCACTTCATTCGAGCAAATGAAATAATTAAAGAATTGAAACAGAAACTCACATGGAAAAATATTGCATGAATGAGCAAAGAAAAATTGAAAAAGTAGCCTTTGTCTTTCCTCAACTGCCGAAGTCCTTGAAAGTTTTAACGGTTATACTGAAGGGTACTTGACAGCTTTGGGCAGTGTTTATCCCTCGGGAAGAGTAAATTCATTCCTTCATTCATGTTAAATACTCAAAAAATGAACTTTTAAGTAATAAATAATTAGTACTCACCTGGTATTCACAAATAAGTAGCAGAAAGTTCAATAAAATGGTAATCCGCGACCCGCGCGATTAACGTGCAGTAATGTCGTAGCTCCAAATGGTTCGGTTCGACTTGGATCTTCCGTTGTGTGTATAACGTATATAAGAAGGGTAAGTAGTAAGCCGAGTAAGGCAGACGAGTTGCGAAAGGCGATGCGTATGCGTAGGATTCTTTGACACAACGTAATACGGCTCCCTGATCAGCGACGGCGCTAAGTGTTCAATCTCTAGCAAACCTGCATGTGTACCAGCAGAGATCATAGGGAATATTTCTCACGCCAATGGCAGAGATTATAGGGGAAATTGCTAACGCCAAAGGCGAGGCTTCAACCGCCGTATACTTGGCGCACTAATTATTGTGAATGATTAATTAACCTATCAAATAATTTGGAAATAATTTGGGGAATTTTAAGAAGAGGGTTTCATAATTTGAGGAGATCTCGTTGATTAATTATTCATTTTTTTAAATTAAAGCGTATAGTTAGCGAAAATTTCTTATTTTTTATTTTTCTTAATTGAAAATTACATAAAATCATTTGGGGAATCGATTTCTGTAGATTTCATAATTTGGAGAATTGACAAAGAGTTGATAATTAATAAATTAAATAATTAAATCAATTTCCAGCCGGGCGCGTGCGCGCATGCATACCCGTTCCATCGTTCGTCATCGGGCGCACTAATTAATGGTAATCATTAATTAACCTATGAAATAATCAGGAAATACTTTGGGGAAATTTAGGGAGTAGGCTCAATAATTTGGGAAGACCTCGTTAATTAATTATCAATTTTTTAAACTTAACGTACGAAATTAGCGAAACCTTGTTTTTTAAGGAAGAACCATTTGGGGAATTGATCCCAACTGTTCTTATAATTTGAAAAATTGAAAAAATTTCATTAATTAATAAACCAGTTCATTGTTGCTAGTTTTTGACAAATCGAAAATAAAATAATGCACTTATTCATATTGATTTCCACTCAATTTTTTCCCATTTTTTTGAACTTCAAACTTCTTTGTCAGTTATTTACTTGCTGTGTTATTATCATAGGAAAATCGTCGTTTTTCAATTAATTTTCACCGATGCACAAAAAAACTAAAAATTTATGTTTCATTCAGTTTCCCATTGTTTTCTTTCAACCCTTAATGTTTTTCTTTCATTTGACAAATCACATTATTTTGGATTTTTGGCACGAAAAAACAGAGAAATGGAAGAATCATTTCCACTCTAATTGACTAGTGTTGTCTTTAAGAAATGACGTTGTGTGAATTTTCTTTGAATTAAGTTTTCCCCTAATTTTCATGAACCTACAATGTTTTTACAAGGAAAAACGATAAAAATTGAAAATAAATCACAATCCAATTTATCGCTATTTCGACAACTCAGTGATCGAAGTTTGCTTTCCGATTGATATTCGGCTGCTGCTGGATTTATCCTCTATAAAATTAGTTAACAAGTTTTCTATGAATAATATTCAACTTTTTTTAAATGAGTGTCGATAACGAAGGAAGCAACGGGTGTGGACGTGCATATGCGCAGGGCTAGAAATTGATGTAATTATTTAATTGACTAATTATCAACTCTTTATCAATTCCCCAAATTATTCTACGTAATTCCCAACTTAAAAATAAAAAATGAGAAATGTTCGCTAACTATACGCTTTAATTAAAAAAATGAATAATTAATTAACGAGATCTCCCCTCATTCTGAAACTTACTCCCTACATTTCCTCAAAATATTTCTTAATTATTTCATAGCGTAATTAATGACTTCCATTTATTAGTGTGCCCGATGACGAAGGATGGAACGGGTATGCATGCGCGTATGCGCAGGTCTGAAAATTGATTTAAGTTTTTAATTTATCAATTATCAACTCTTTATCAATTCCCCAAATGATGAAATCTACCGAAATCGAGAGTGTGTGACAAAAACCCAGGGGCCAAAAACCCAGAACGGATATGACGCAGTTGTTGAAGTTCAGAATGACGAAACGGATTGAAGCGCCATCTCATAGAATCATGAGCAGCCCCCGTTCACTCCGTGCTACAGGTCAACTCCGGTGACTGGTAGTTGGCACCACATAATTGAAAATTCATTAGTTTTTTTATTTAGATCAATAGTAGGACCTTTGTACATCATTGTAATACAATTAAAAAATTTTGTAGACCCTTCATTATTTTTTAATTAATTAAACAAAATAATGATGGGAAGTTAGCACCCCACCCCACTAATTTC